ACTGTTTTAATGTAAACCCTTAACAGATGTGATTTAACAGCAATTTTCTCAGGGTCTGTGAATTATATTCTAAGAACATATAAGAAAAATGACTAACTAATCCTTTGGCCCTAAATGAAAACCCATGGTTATCTCCGATGTACTGGTGGGAACATTTCTTTCTCTAGATGAACACGCAAGTCAGGCCCACGAGGTAAATGGTGGCCATGGTGAGGCTCTACCCACTGATATAAGATTTGCTGCTGAGAAAAAAGAAGGGTGGCATTTCAGTAATATGAAAATGTTCCCAACAGAATAACAGCCTGTTAAGCAATTTTCCAGTACATTGGGCTAAAATTGCTTAAGATGGGTATTCTTTCTGTGCCAATCAAGTATCACATAAATTGCCGTCTTACAAAGCACCTATTATGAAAAGTGCTAGACAAATTGGCCCATTTTAGTCATTACTTTGCACTCACTTTCCACTGACCTAGTGTGATCACGGCTCCCTCTCAATTACCAGTCCCCTTCACTGTAAGGCAGACAGTAGTCATTCTTTCTGGGGTCTCGTGTAGGCTTGAGAAAGTGAATGATCGCTTCTCCTTGTGGCTGCTTTAACACAGCTTCAGCGGCCTGACAGCTTTGGCTGAGTCACCACTTACAGACTACGGCCTCTTTGCTGTTTATCCGAGACCAAAGTTCATGACCACACCAGACTACTAGTAACGTGAAAATGCTCTAGATGAGAAGTTACATTGTAAATCAGTTATTAGCCAAAGTGCCATCTCTCTTCACCCCCCACATGGCTTACATAATCTTTTCTTTTGGTTGGTTGGGACAGATGTCTATCTTCCTGCCTCAGTCTCTGAATTGCCAGAATTAGGCAGCAGTCACTGTGCCTGTGTCTAACTTTTTTTTTTGTTTGTTTTTCTTTTTTCAAGACAGGGTCTAATAGCCCTGGCTGTCCTAGAACTCATTTTGTGGACCAGGCTGTCTTCGAACTCACAAACATCCACCTGCCTCTGCCTCCTGAGTGCTGGAACTAAAGGCATGTGCCACCACCACCTGGCTAACTTTTCTTTTCATCTAGCTGATCCTAAAGCTGTCGTCCTCTGAACACAATCTCTGAATGCCATCTTGGAAAAGGGTAGGTGGCCAATCATGGTGCTATACATTTGTTTTCTCAGAACTTGGGAAGCTGAAACAGGAAGATGCTGAGCTCAAAGCCCGCCTAGGCTATGGTGGTATGACTATTACTGGCACAGGGGTGAGGGACAGGTATTGGGTAGAAACTATAGGCACAGAATAGGGAAATGCTACAACTATAGCAGAGAATATCAATCTGAATGGATTTAAGAAATATATTTTAACAAAATGTTATTGAAATTGACCGTGTTCCAGGAATGAAAATACTGGATTCACAATGACAGGAAAAAGGAAGTTCAAGCTTGAATGTTAGCTCTACTGCATACTGGCTGCATGACCCTGGACAGCTATACAGCATCAGTTAGCTTCTGTGTCAACAAAATGGATCCATTAACTTTATAAAGCTGTTTCAAGAGTTATAGCAAAGGCAGAAAATTAGCTTATGGCTCTCTCGACCATTAGGGGGCTAGCAAGAAACCTGGCAGTAGAAAAATTCCCAGGAATCTACAAGGATGACCCCAGCTAAGGCCCTAAGCAATGGAGGGGAAGATGCCTGAACTGGCCTTGCCCTGTAGTCAGACTGATGAATATCCTAAATATTACCTTCATCAAGCAACTGATGGAAACAGGCAGAGACCCGCAGCATCTGAGCTCCCAAAGTCCAGTTGAAGAGTTGGAGGAGTGAGAATATGAGCAAAGAGGTCAAGACCACGATAGGAACACCAGTGAAACGGTGTTGCCTGAGCTAATGGGAGCTCACCAACTCCAGCCAGACAGGGAAGGAACCAGCATAGGTCCAAACTAGTCCCTCTAAATGTGGGTAACAGTTGCATGGCTGGGGCGGACTGTGGGGCCACTGGCAGGGGCACCAGGATTTATCCCTATGGCTTGTACTGGCTTTTTAGGAACCTATTCTCTTTGGCTGGATATCTTGTTCAGCCTAGATATAGTAGGGAGGGCCTTGGACCTTTCCCAAAGCAATATCCCTTTCTGAGGAGTGGATGGGGGATGAGGTGGGGGTAGGTAGAAGAAATGGGAGGAGGGGAGGGAATGGGAACTGAGAATGGTATGTAAAATTTTAAAAAAAGGTAGTTTGTTTTCTTTAAAAAGAAACAAAATAAATTAATAAAAAATTAGCTTATTAGAAGTGTAAAAGGGCTGGAGAGATGGCTCAGTGGTTAAGAGCATTGCCTGCTCTTCCAAAGGTCCTGAGTTCAATTCCCAGCAACCACATGGTGGCTCACAACCATCTGTAAAGAGGTCTGATGCCCTCTTCTGGCCTTCAGGCATACAGACAGAATATTGTATACAAAATAAATAAATAAATAAATAAATATTTTAAAAAATTATATAAAAAAAAAGAAGTGAAAAAAAATCACATCGTGCTCTCTGTACGGATCCACACATAAGACTGTTACTGAATCCCAGGGGTTGAGTTCTCTATTTTCTTCTGATATTTAACACATTTCATCAAGTCTAGTGACTTCCCTAGAACTAAGTTCTCCTTAGATGTACTCCGTCTGCAATGCTGCCCATTCTGAAACTTACAACAGCTCCTGACACAAACTTTGGCGTCTTCTCACCCTCAAACACTGGAGGAAGGTGTAATAGGCTTACAACCAACTCACAAGATGCATGACTGCCCTCTAGTGACTACAATAATTCTTTCTAGTAATCTAGTCAGCTGTTCCAGTCTGGTACCTTGCTGAGTAAATTAACTCCAAGGAACTGAGTTCAACCCCAGAATCTACGTTTAAACAAAGCAGGCACAGTGGCTTGTGCTTATATATAATCCCAGGGTTTGAGAAGTGGGGACAGGTGGATCCCTTGAGCTCTGGTAAGCCAGGGTCATCTAATTACTGAGTTCCAGGCTAGTGAGCCACAAAAAGATTAAGTAAATCTTGTCTGAGTAATGACACCTTACTGACCTTTGGCCTCCACAAGCAGAAAGAAGCACACACCCACAGAAATCTGGTTACTTACACAGCACCAGAGCCTTTTGGCCTGGTGCACGTCTTTAATCCCAGCACTCAGGAGGCAGGCAGATCTCTGAGTTCAAGGCTAGCTTGGTTTACAGATCAAGTTCCAGGACAGCCAGGGCTATAGAGAGAGAAACCCTGTTTTGAAAAACAATAACAAAAACAAACAAACCAACAAAACACCACCAGAAGGAATGCCTTTTCCAGGAAATACAAAATAGCTAACCACATTTGATCGTTGGTTTTGTTTTAAAGTCTTGCTGTGTCAGGCTGGTCTCAAATTCCTAGTCCTAAATTTTGGGATTCTAAGTAAATGATTCTGTGCCCTGCTGATCTTGTATTTCTAATCAGAGCAGCTAGTTATGGTCAGTTACCATTTAACATACCGAACACAGGTGAGCCACAAGTATACAGATACTTGCTTAAAAAGTATTTGCTGTATAGGGATGGCTGTTTAAAACTTAACATATTTTGCACATTTGCCCCATATCCCTAAACTCTTAAAAAAAAAAAAAAAACCAAAACAAAACAAAAACCTCAGCCTCCCTCATTCACCACATATTTATACTTTTTCCCTTTTCCTATTTGAGATAGGGTTTATGTAGTCCTGAAACTTGCTATGCAGACCAGATTGGTCTCAAACTCAGAAATACTCCTGCCTATACCTGGAATTATATGCATGCATCATCACACCCTGGTCTTATTCCTTATACCACATACATATTTTTTTAAAAAAGATATTTATGTTTGCTGTTTTGGTTTTTCGAGACAGGGTTTCTCTCTGTAGCCTTGGCTATCCTGGAACTCAAAGGCATCTGCCTGCCTCTTGCCCAAGTGCTGGTATTAAAGGTGTGCACCACCACAGCCTACCCAGCTGATGTTTTGGTTTTAATATAGACCCACATTTTCAAGACAGGGAAAGAAGAATCAGAGCCCTTTAAAAATCCTTTGCACCCCAGTCTTCTCTCCAGGTCTAAAATACTAACAGAGATTGGCCTACTCCCTGAAAAATCGACATGCCGACATGTTCAACTGTATAGCAGCCAGCTTCAAATTCAGAAAAACCCCTAACCTCATTCATGGGAGGCCGGGGTGGGAAGATAATGTTGGCTATTATTTATAGGCCTGGCTCTGGGCTTACTTCTAGGTTTCTATTATTTCCAACAGCGCTGCACAGTATTAGGAGTTGATAACCGAGTCAAGGCTGCACGTAAATCCCTCTCCCATAACAGCAAAAACTACCTGGGCAAGTCACACAGAAGGTTGAAGTCGATGGTAGTTTTGTTTTTTTTGAGACAGAGTCTCTTTCTGTAGCCCTGGCTGTGCTGGAACCTGCTGTGCACAGCAGGCTGGCCTTGAGCTCCACCTGCCTCTGCCTCTGCCTCTCAAGTGGGGAGTAAAGGATTGTGCCACCACACCCAGCACAAGATTACATGTTGGTGTAAACAGTAAGGAATTATAACCCTAGTCCAGAAATCACTAAGAAAGGGTTTATGAAAATTAATAGTAAAGAGTAGGTGTTCCAAGATGATCTGACTTCCATCATTGCAGTTAGTAACTAAATTCGTGGTGCTATAATCCACAAGAACCTTCAACACAGATAGAGGTAGGCGTTATCAGATACAAATATAACTATGTTTGAAATTCTGAAAGTAAAACATGTAGATAGCTTTCCCATTTAAAAAAAATTTTTTTATTTTATTATTGTTGTGTTTGTGTGGCTGTTTTGCCTGCATGTATGCCTGTGTACTATATGCATGTAGTTTCTGCAGAGGCCAGAAGACGGTGTTGGATCCCTTGACTCTGGAGTTACAAACAGTTGGGAGTGCCAGGAATTAAACCCAGATCCTCTGGAAGAGCAGCCAGTGATCTTAACTGATAAGCCATTCCTTCAGCCCCTCTCAATTGTTTTATAATTGGAAAAAAAAGGAACAAAAAAAAACAAAAAAAACCAAACCTCCAAATTTTGTACATACTTAAGTCTGGACAAAGCATAAAGTTAATATAAAAAGTAGACAATGAAACAAACTGTCGACTTGCTCTCCTTCCCCACATGACTTCTGAGTATACAGCAACAGCCCACGTCCCCATTTGTCATTTGACACTGAGCACAGGTGTTTGAACTTACAACTTTAAATGTGCATTTCAGCACCAGGAGCTTCTGGGACCCTAACTTTAACCCAACCTTCCATAACTGTCTTCTTACTCTCTACTACACAGCAGGACACCGCAACAACAGCAACCAACTGCTTCAGCCTCTTCACTTCTGCAGACGCTAAGACCTCTTCTCCAGTATATAAAGGGGCTGGAAATTTAATTTCCTGGGAAAGAAACACACAGCCTGGCCCTGGCATTTTAGTACCCAGGAGAGCAGAAATAAGTCCACTTATCAAAACTCCATGCACAATTGTCTTTCCAAACTTGGTGTGTTTTGCATAATCTTCACTTAGATGCAGAGGATTGTCATCTCCTGTTAACTTGGAGAAGGTAGCCACATCCTGCTGTGTGAAGGCTCTGCTGAGCTCAGCACGGTCTCCAACCCTTATGTGCACACAATGAAAGCACTGCCCTGCTGGGACCAGGTGATTCTGCCACAGTCTCCCCTGAAGCCCACTCCACCAGCGATGATGACCAGAAATCACAGAGAACATCTTCAGTGTCTCCAAATATCATCAATAGGGGCTTTAGCCTGCTTCTTTTTTTTCAATCTATGTAGATACCAAAAGATTCTGTTGAGAGTGGAGGTTTCTGGAACTGTAAGAGTATTCAATCCAACACTTGTTCCCTGCTATTACCAGATAATGCGAGGAGAAAGGGAGACACCTACGAAAGAAGAAAAGGTTAATGCAGACCGCATGGTAACAACAGGCAGCCCAGAAACATGCAGGTTTTACAGGCTAGTAGTCACATTTTAAGGCACATCCTGGAGGGAGCAATGACTGAACAAGTACTAGTAAGCCTGGAAACAACCTGCCAATACAACACCGCACTAGTAGTGAGAAGAGCCTTTATCACAAATTTGACCTTCAAACATCTCTTACAAAGTGATCTAAAATCTGACCACTCTGCCTCAGTTTCAGAGGCAGTGAGATTCCGGGCTTGTCCTTGCCAGATGTTAACTATTTATTTTACTCAAGACAAAAATGAGACACACGTCCAGATCACATCACTGCTGTGCTCGGTCCTCCTGGAATCATGAAGGAAAAGCCTTTACCTGAATCACTCTGAAGGCACACTTTTTGTTTTTATAGGCTCCGAACAAGGTCAAAGAGCTCCACAATTTAGTCAGACCACTGTATAAAGAACAAAAAAGCATAAATAAGGATTTCTGCTGCCAACAGCTTCCTAGTACTTTTGTTTGTGATTGTCTAGAAAGTTAAAAACAAACACAGAAACCTCATTTAAATAAAACAGAACGTTAGAAGAATGTATCACAGACAGAAAACAAATTGAGCTCAAGAATTTTTCTAAACTGCACACATTTCTGACTTTAAGACAATAATCATCAGGATGATGCACAAAGTCATGAAGTATTCCATATTAAAAAAACAAAACAAGACTACCTTCTCCAGTGAAAGTTACAACTTTTAAGGGCAGTAATGTACTCTAGTGCTTGTGGGTAAATGCTGGCGTACTTCATTCTGCTGAAATTATTTTCATATATAATAGGAATTTTTGGAAATGCCTTTGGGTCTGTGCAGCAGAACCATGTAACAGTCTGAGCACAGGACTACAATGCGAGATGGATCCTGTATCACAAACACAGGCTTCAGAAACCTTGGCTCTTAGAGGCTACAGTGTTACTGGGTGGTGCCGTTCTCATCCTGCATTTGATCCTAATCCATCTTTATGAGATATTGACACACAAGCCAAATAGCAGAGTTACTTCTCCAGAGGAGGAGCAAAGTTCATTGGGATGACTGTTTAATCGAAGTAACTCTTTACCATACTCCCAGATGACCTGCTTGGCCATAAGTGAAGAAGTTAGCCCTGATGGTGAAGTCCAGAAGATGTTAGTGGGAATTACTGTTTGAAAAGACAAGATGGATAATTTAGAAATACAGGCTTTCCCACAGCAGTGTCTCCATGGATAGAATCTTTCGCCAGGATTCTGACTTAACTTGTTTGCAGAAACTTATGGAGTGTCTAAGGAAAACACTAAGCAAAGTAGCCTATTGCTTCATCGCTGAGGAATTCTTGATCCAAATAGAAAATTTGTTCCTTTCCAATTAGACTTGGTGTTCTTCAAAAATAATACTCAAGAAAACAAATCAGGCCCTCAGTTAACCTTGAGGCATTCTTCTCCGGTCCTGTAAAATGGCCTGGAGCTCCCATTGCTATAGTTGGTTTGACCCTGTGCTCACAGCTTTTTAGGCCCCAAACACTTTTGCCCACTTGGACCCCTTCTGTATTTATATTAATAAAAAAGAGAGAAAACCCATAATTATCAACTGGGAACCTGGCTGTGATTAAACCACAGGGTTCTCGTATCTAGAGTCTAACCCCAGGTAGAGGAATGTGTAGGAACGTGTATAGTAACTCCAGTGTACATTCCCAGCCATGGCCTCTCATCCTGGAGGCATCTTCACTGCTGTCCCATCCCTGTCATACCTGCTGCACACTCTCAAGATGGCTGACAAGGTCTTCTCTTCATAGGTTAGGACGTCCACAGGTAAAGCAGCACCAACCTAGGTATGGACAACACCATTAGTGGACTCCTGTCACCACTGTGAACGCCGATAACGCCAGTATTTCAATTAATGGTGCTGGTATCTCATGTGCCTGATAAGGGCTTCTATTGTCTGCAATGTTCCCATTCCTTTTTGTGACACCTCCTTGCCTTTGAATCTGTGTTTAAAGTGTTCCTTCTCCAGCTGGTGAGATGGCTCAGTGGGTAAAGCTGCCTGGTACAAACCTAAGGACCTAAGCTTGATCCCCATAGTTCAATCCCCAGGACTCACATGGTAAAGGAGAGAATCAACTCCCACAAGTTGTCCTCTGACTTCCACACACACACAGTCATATACATGTCTATGCGCACCCTCTCCCCATACACACACAGAGAAATGTTTTCCCAAAGCTCCTTCCCATATTCAAAAGATTAGGCTCAATCCGAACTCTTACACAAGACCCCATACTTTGTTCTTCCACAATTCTCCCAGTCTTGTCATTATTTAACAAGACTGACAGCCCAAGAAAAAGAGACCATGTCTTGGAGCACACCTTTAATCCCAAACCCTGTCTCAAAAAACCAAAACGAGACAGAGACAGAGAGAGAGAGAGAGAGAGAGAGAGAGAGAGAGAGAGAGAGACAGACAGACAGACCATGTCTTATGGCTCTTATCTCCCGAAACTATATATTTTTTTTAAATTTTAATTTCTTTTAGTTTTTCAAGATAGTTTTCTCTCTGTAGCTCTGGCTGTCTTGGAACTCGCTCTGTACACCAGGCTGGCTTTGACCTCACAGAGATCTACCTGCCTCTGCCTCCCAAGTGCTGTGATCAAAGGCAAACATCACCACTGCGCAGTGAAACTACATCTTTAAATGACATATAGAAATTGCAGGTTTTGTTTTTTTTTAATTTGTTGCAGTCTACAGGGAACTTCATGTACTCTTCCCTTAGCCTCTGCCAAAAGCAGTGTCTTATATAATCATAGTACAGGATCAAAGCCAGGTGGAGGTATTGACCCAATTCAGAATTTACTTAGACCTGACATCATTTGTGTGCATTTATATTTGTATGTGTGTACTTCTATGTGACTTTTCCTCATAGGTGATTTCTTCTAATCACCACCAACACCAAGATAAAAACCTGAACCACCACACGACTCCTTCTATTGAACCTTTATAATCATACTTCCCTAAGCCCTGGTGACCACTTTGTTCTTCAGGCTATGTTGAAGCAAGAGCATTATATACATAGAATTACCCCACAAGTAATTTACTTAGGGTTGGCTGTTTCCATTCAGCTCAGTTTTCTAGAGATTTGTCTGGCCACTATCCTCTTCTCTGATGACCATATTCTACGATTTGAATATACAATCACTGAACACTCACCCATTAAGGGACAACTGTGATGTTTTCAGCTTCCGGATATTATTAGTGCCTCACAAACACTCATGTGCAACATTACTTTCCTTAAGATTTATTTTTATGAGCTAGGCGGTGGTGGTGCACACCTTTAATCCTAGCCCTTTGGAGGCAGAGGCAGGTGGACCTCTGTGAGTACAAGGCCAGCCTGGTTTACAAGAACTAGTTCTAGGACAAGCTCCAAAGCTAAAGAAACCCTGTCTCAAAAAAAAAAAATTAGTTTTATGTATGTGTTTTGCACACACGCATATCTGTGCACCATATGTATGCCTGGTATCTCAGGCAGTCAGAGGAGATCAGATTCTATAAACTAGAGTTACAAATGGCTATGGACCACTATGTGGGCATTGGGAACTGAACCTGGGTCCTCTGCAAGAGCAAGTGTAGGTTTGCTTTGAATTACATTTTTTGGGGGGAGGTAGCTCTGAGACAAGGTTTTTCTGTGCAGCCCTGGCTGTCCTGGAATTTACTTTGTAAACCAGACTGGCCTTGAACTTAGAGATGTGCCTGCCTGTGCCTCCTGAGTGCTGGAATTAAAGGCGTGCGCCACCAGGCCTGTCTCTTTCCATTTTATTCACACAGTTTTTGCAGAGTATATTTGATAAGATACAGGGCAGACTTGAACAGAATAAATATATCAGGTAATTTCTCAAGAGTCAATCCTAGCTTTGCTTTTCCTCTTCACTTCCAAAGCTCATCTTCTGTTTAGTGAATGCTAAGACAAAGGGGCCCAAAGTGCTGGTCGGCAACAGGCTAAGGAGCTGCATCAGAATGTCAACCAACATCACTAAGTTTTTACTTCTGCTCATACTGTTTCAGAATTTTTTATTACTTTAAGATCAATTTATTTTTATGTGTGTGTTTTCCCCACATGTATATGTGTCACGGCACATGTACCGAGGTCTGTTTGCTCACGTGCATATGTGTACATGTCTTACATGTGCCACTGCACATGTGTGGAGATGAAAGGGAATTCTCAAGAGTTTGTTCTTTCTTTCCATCATGTGGGTTCCAGGAACTGAACTCAGGACATCTTGCCATTCCTCACACGGTTTTAAAAAGAGACTTTCTCACTGAAGCATGCTGGCTCTCATATAAACCCTTTATCTTTACAAAGATGGGCAAAGTCTATGTCTAGACTATAATTTGATAGCATTGTGCAGGAACAGTAACCGAACAGATTCTTGGTCAAATACAGGGCATGCTGAAACAACCTGACAAAACTCATTATTTCTGAAAGTTGGCTTCTGCAAACTCTAGTACAGCTTTAAAAAATGGTATTTCTGTGTTTCTTACAAAGCGCTCTTCTAGGCCAGGAGTGCTGTTGCTCACTTTTAATCCCAGTGCTTGGGAGGCAGAAGTAGGTGGCTCTGTGTTTAGGTTCCAGGACAACCAGGGATCTACAGACAACTCAAACAAACAAACAAACAAACTTTTCCCTTTTTAAAAAAGTACCAGGTAGCTCAGGCTGACTTCCAATGGCTGTGTAGAGGAGCCTAACCTTGAATTCTTACTCTAATTCCACTCACCAACAGTAGAATCATAGATGCTAGAATTCTGATAGGTGTGTGCCCAAGTGACAGGTATGACCAGCCCAAGGTAGGCCACCATTCCACCACTGAACTATACTCTTAGTCCCTTTTCTAGACTTTCTTACAAAATCCTGGAGAATGTTAGCTGCCAAGCGACCCATACCTCCCCAAACAGGTCCTTCAGGGCCGAAACAAGCAGCTGTTTGAATTGGGCTGCGTTCAGCTCAATTCCGTGTTCTTGAAACTCTCTGAAAAATATTAAAAAGAGAAACTATCTTATTAAATCTAAGCTTTTCAGGTTTGGAAAAAAAAAACAAGTAAAAGGAAACAACTCACAAGACTGAACTTACAAGCAGACTTTCATATAGTGGTACTCTGAGGGGTTCTTGTAAATCACTCTTTCATATGCAGTAGCTGGCATCTTCAAACATGGGCACCTAAAAAGAGTCAAGAGAGCTCATAACTACCAGGTACTCGTTGTTAGTAGTAGTATTCTCTAGTAGTAGTTCTGTTTTTAATGGGAACTTACTTTCTATTTGCTGAGAAAGACTTGCTATATAGGCTGGCCCTGAACTGCTCCTCCTGCCTTGCTCTACGGAGGACTGAGATTACCAGGTGGAATGTCACCACATCCAGTCTATTTGGCTTTTAAAGATGTATCACAGTACTTTATGTAACCCTAGTTAGACAACGGTTACCCATCTAGATATAGAGGAGTTTCTTTTTTCTTTGGCAGGTCCTTATTTTTGGTATATGTTGAGGGGTGGTGGTGCTGGAGATCACACCCAGAATCTGGTGCAGGACAGGCAAGCCCATTCCTGTATTTTTAAACATGCCAGAATAGATCATCCTTAATCAAAGGAAAGATTCAATAAGGAAATATAACCATTTACTCTGTCCCCATAGAACATGAAGGGTGGTCCTTTTGTTGTCCTTTCCCCAAGTCTGCTATTCTCAGTCCAGAAATCAGTCTCTAGTGCAGATGTGGCTCAGCAGCAGAGTGCTTACCTCACACCCCTGCAATACAGCTCTCACCTCAAAGAGAGTAAGAGCCTATTCTGGAGCCAAATATTAGTGGCCATGGCCCACGAACAAAGATGCTATCCAAGGCAGTAAGTTTCCTGAAGTTTTTATAGTAAATGAACAAAGACGGTCATAATGAAGACACTTTTCAAATACATTGGTGAAAATACCAGGTTGGCAACTACAGCAAAGTAGGAAAACCTCTGCTATAGGCCTCAGATGCTGACGGCATTCTTCCCCCTAGACTCGTGAAAGCTAAGTGGTCTGCTAAGTCAATACAGCCCAAAACATTTCACCCAAAGGATGTTGTTATATGAGACTCAGAGGTGTGCAGGAAAAAACAACTTAAAACAGATGTCTGGACGTGCAACATCCCAACCTCTACATGTTCCTCATTAACCTTCTCATTCTAATCAGTTAATCAACCAAGTACAAAATCCAGTCTAAATGAAGTGCAGCTTTTTACCAGGAGCTTTCCTTCACACTAGCACTCCCCAGGTTAATTCTCATTGGTGAAGAAAGGGAAACAAACACAAACTGAGAGCCGCCCAGTACACAGCATCCAGCTCTCTGTAGGGCTATTTGGCAGCACTGTGAAGGACTGACCTTACAACACAAGGGAATCTAAGGAAATGCTGTTATGGAATATCACTTTAACTAGGCAAACTGTAACACTGTTTATTCAGCGTTCGTTTAGTTATGTAAAGATGTGTTGCTGTTTCACCTTGCAGAGACAGGTCTCTGGTCTAATTTTTATTTGGTCTAATAAAAAGCTGAAGGCGGGGGGGGGGGGGGGGGGGGGGATGGCTCAGGGGTTAAGAGCACTGGCTGTTCACAACCATCTATAATGAGATCTGGTGCCCTCTTCTGGCCTGCAGGGATATATATACAGACAGATGCTGTATACATAATTAATAAATAAATCTTAAAAAAAAAAAGCTGAACAGCCAATAGCTAGGCAGTAGAGGGGTAGGTGGGGCTGGTGGATAGAGATAGTAAGTAGGAGGAAGAGAGAGAGAAAAGGGAGAAAGAGAAGGCAATACCCAGAGTCATCTAGTCAGCTAGCTGCCAGCCAGCCAGCTGGACACAGAGTAGGACATATAGAATGAAAGAAATGTAAAGAGCCCCAAAGCAAAATGTAAATAGGTTAAAATAAGTTATAAGAGCTAGTGGAACAAGCATAAGATAAGGCCAGCATTCATAACCAATAAGTCTCCATGTCATTATTTGGGGAGTGAGGGCCCAAGAAGGCTGGCTACAAGGCGCTCCTGGAAAGGGTATTCCTGTGGCTTATACGTGGTGTGTCCCAGCCAAAAACCCACTCCTGCTGGAGTTTAATCCTTAATCAGGTACTAAGAGGTGAAAACCACCAGGCGGTGGTGGCGCACACCTTTAATCCCAGCACTCAATAGGCAGAGGCAGGCGGATCTCTATAAATTCAAGACCAGTCTGGTCTATAAGAGCTAGTTCCAGAACAGGCTCCAAAGCTACAGAGAAACCCTGTCTGGGGCAGGGGGGCAGAGGTGAAAACCTAATCCAATTATTGTGTTCTGAGATGGGGTCTTTGGGAAGAAGCTAGGATTGAATAAAGTCATCAGGGAAGAAGTCCCATGATTAAATCATGGTAGCTTTGTAAGAGGGATCAGAGACCCAGACAGACATACTTTCTGTGTTGTACTCTACAAGCTGGAAGCCCATGACCAATGCCACCTCTTGGACTTGGAACTGAAGTATTAGCCAAAACAGATTTGTTTATAGTTTACCTAGTCTGTGGTGTTATTACTGGCAACAGAATACATATGAACACAGGCATCAACGTTATCCCTATTTTCAGATAATGATGAGGCGGAGGGGGCAGCTAGGTAGCCCAGGCTGGCTTTCGATATCTGATTTTCCTGCTTTATCTTCCAGTGCTGGGATTATGGGTATATACCAGGGCACCCCATACTCAATGCCTTTGCAAACAGATCTGAACTCCCGACAATTTCCAATGTGCCGATCCCCCTTAGAAAATCCTTTTCCTGGGGTCCACTCAGACCTCACTGTCCCCTGGACAACTCTCATTCCCACTTCAATGTCTCCTCCTTCAGGGAGGCTTTCTCACACCCGCCCTAACAGACTGTTTGCCAAGGAGAAAGGTCATTCTTACCCAAAGTCACACTGTTATAGACCAGCTTCAAGCACCTTTAGATGGTAATTCCTAGAAAAAGGAAGTTGGAATCTAGGAGCTTTATCCCCCTTTTCTGGGCCCACCAGGGCACATGTTCAACAAAAACACTTGCTGAATGTGTGACTGAGGAGAGGGTAATGGTGTAGGCTGGGTGCCCAGGGTATCTAATTGGTTTCAGGACAGCAGCAACCAGTCTCTACCAGAATCTGTCTGGTTCACTCATTCACCATCTGAAACATGACAGGTGTTTTAGGCCTTGCCAACTTCCTAGGTGATGCTGCTGCCTAAGGCAGAGTTGACTGGTTAAAGATCGAGAGTTACATAACTAAGGAGCATTTTGGAAGTAGATGGTGGTAATGGTTATACAACAATGCATATTTCCTTAATGACAAAAAAAGTTAAATGATACAGTGTATATTTTCCTTTTTTTTTTTTTTTTTAAGATTACTTAGAGCTGGAGAGATGACTCTGATGTTAAGGGTTCTTGTTGCTTTTGTAGAGAAGCCAGGCTGGGTTTTCAGCACCCACAGGGTAGCTAACATCAGTCTGTACTCCAGTTCCAGAGGATCAAATACCCTCTTCTGGTCTTCATGGGCATTGCAGTCACATGGTGCATGGATACAAATCCAGGCAAAACACCAATACACCACAAATAAAAATAAATTAGCCTAAAAAACAATGACTGCATAGTCTTGAGCTCTCAGAGTAAGATCGAGTGTTGCCCCCTGCAGGCTGTACTGAGATGGAGGTGCCCTCAGTAGTGTGGCATCATACTCAAGGGGTTCAACACTGTAACTCTTATAGTCACTGTTGATGCCTTTCACTGATTGCAGGGATGTTCACAAACACCTAGTTTTTGACTCCTCTGCCTCCTCTAACCTATACTGCTGTTTGTGAATGTGTTAAAAGCCCATCACAGCCAGGTAGTGATGTCAAATGCCCTTAATCCCAGCACCCAGGAGGCAGAGGCAGGTGGATGCTTCTCATTTTATCCAGTCAGACCATTCGAGGTCAATCTCTACCGCCTCAGTTTTGTTCTATGCGAATGAGAAAGGATGACTTGATCACTCCTAGGTATGACTGAGAAAATTTCCTGTAGATGTGAGGGAGAGCACAGCCAGAAGCAGCTGGAAAGGTCCAGACTGAATGGGGCCAGCAGCATAGACCCGGCCATGAGCGAGGGATGGGGAGAGCAAGAGAGCAAGCAAGGGAACCAAGAGGGCAAAAGAGAAGCAATGAGCGTGTGCACAATCAAGAGAACCAAGAAGGAGAGAAGAACCAGGAGAGGGAATAGCTTTTGTCTAAGTGCCAGGCTCTGGGAAAAGGAATTTCCTCTTTTTTTTGGAGGGGGGGGTATGGGATGGGGGTTGGAGACAGAAGTTTCTCCTTGTAACTGAGCCCTGGCTGTCCTAGACTCACTTTGTAGAGCAGACTGGCCTCGAACTCAGAGAACTCCTTGAACTCCTCCCAGTGCTGGGATTAAGAGCATGCACCACCACACCTGGAGAACAGGAATTTCTTGAGACCTAAAACTCTGGGTTTCCTCCTCTTGTTGGCCTCGGCTTGGGCTAGTTTCTCCTTAAGTCAGAAGCGGGTAGTCACGTGTCTCACACTTCCTAGCCTCCTTCATCTTCCTCAATGTGCCCCACTGCCCATCAGATCTATTATTGTACCAACCCCTCCTTGACCAATCCTTCCAAGTCTTACAGTATTTCTAACAGGATCACAGAATATTTAATATCCACTCCCTTGCTCCTGCCTCTCAATACGCCTGCACTCCGAAAAAGAACCTGTTTCATTCCCCATTGCTACTCACGGACTCAAACGAGTGCCTTGCACATTTGGGCACACACACAAAACACAGCTCTGGTACTAATGGGACTAAACCAGTCACTGAAGAAGCCCGATCCCCTACTGCTGGAGTCACGCTGTGTCCAACTTTGCTCGATTTAGCGCCCACCTCGAACGTAGTGAGCCTAGCACACGGCCAGGTGAACCCTCCCGGCCACCGTCTGTCACCAGGACCTCAGCCGCACCGTACGATGCCCGCGGACCGGTTCTCGGCCTGACCTCCGGCCCAGTGCTCTTCCACCCCGCGCTCCCGCCTCCGCATGCGCACCCGCACGTACCGCGTGCAGTTAAGCGGCCCCGGCGCAGAACGAAGCCCCGGACTGGAGCAGCCCCGTTCCTGTCTCCTTCGCGAGGTTAGAATTCGGCAAGGGTCGGCAGCGGCTCAAGCGTGGACCCGCAAAGCTGGTGTATTTACATTTGACTCTGTCCCGCCCTGCCCCACAGACGCGAACCCGCAAGCGGACGTGACGTCACTGCGCGGCGTCAGTCACTAGGCTGTCGCAGAATCCTCTGCAGGGCTGAGGCCGGCGGATGCAGCGCCCCCTAGCGTCCACTTCCGGAACTTAACGTTTGTGGCAGGCTTATTAGGCCCGGACAGTCTTCTTGGTCGTTTATTTCTACGTTCATTCGCAACAGGTTATATCAAATATTTCCTCTCCTGGACTATTATTTTTTTTTTTGCTGTGCCAGGGATCAAAAACCAATGCCTCCCCTATGCTAAGCAAGTCCTCAACAACGAAACTAAATCCAAGCCTTAGTATCTTTCAAGAACATCTGTCAGGCACTAAGGACAAGATCTACTACTGTCAATATACCTTTATGGCACCACGTACATAGTAGATGTTCTGTATCGACGTGGAAAGATTTAGCTATTCCTATATCCAGATGTTATTCCACTTCTACATTTACATGAAGTATTTGTTCAGAATCCACCACATGCTAGCCACTATTCTGGGTACTGGGAGCTCAGGAAAATAAAATATGGTCCCACTCTACGTGTGACATACAGTGTGTGTTTAACAGCAACAACAGCAACTAATATTGACTTTGTGCCAGGCACACTCCAAAAGATTTTACGTAAGTTATCTGATGGAACCGTCGTCACACAACCTTGAGGTAGCTATTATTACAAAAGTCCCATTTTACAGAAGTAGAACTGAGGAAGAGGGAAAGGCTAAATTATTTGCCCCAGATTGTGGTTACGAGTGGTATCACAGATTATCGGCTTTGGCCAGTGATGTCCAGACGGCACCATCTTAAACCGAAGTGGTCTCTGAGTATGGGAACTTGTGTGATGACTTATCACTGCTTGCAGTCCTTGGTATTACTGGGTCACTCAGCTTGTATTTTAGTAAACGATTGTGATTTGGCCTGAGCTGGACATGGCAGTGAAGGTAAAGGGATGCCTTGCACAGCCAAGTCAGTGCCTAGGTCAGTTGGTGTCTTCTCTATAACCCGAAAAAGAATCTAATATTTGCTGTTCCCCAAAGCTCTGTCATTCCTATCTTTTTTGTTTTTTATTTTACTTTTTTTATTGATACTTATTGAGCTCTACATTTTTCTCTACTCCCCTCCCTGTCAATCCTCCCCCAAGGTCCCCATGCTCCCAATTTACTCAGGAAATCTTGTCTTTTTATACTTTCTACTTCACATGTAGATTAGATCTATGTAAGTTTCTCTTAGTGTCTGCATTGTTGTCTAAGTTCTCTGGGATTGTGGTTTGTAGGCTGGCTTTCTTTGCTTTTTGTTTAAAAACCACCTAGAGTGAGTACATGTGATAATTGTCTTTCTGTGTCAGGGTTACCTCACTCAAAATAATGTTTTCTAGCTCCATCCATTTTCCTGCAAAATTCAAGCTGTCACTATTTTTTTTTCTGCTGTGTAGTACTCCATTGTGTAAATGTACCACATTTTCCTTATCCATTCTTCGGTCGTGGGGTATTTAGGTTGTTTCCAGGTTCTGGCTATGACAAACAAAGCTGCTATGAACATGGTTGAGCACATGTCCTTGTGGCATGATTGAGCATCCTTTGGATATAGACCCAAAAGTGGTATTACTGGGTCTTGAGGAAGGTTGTTTCCTAATTTTCTGAGAAATCGCCACACTGACATCCAAAGGGGCTATACCAGCTTGAATATCCATCAGCAATGCAGAAGTGTTTCCTTTCCCTCACAACCTCTCCAGCATAAGTTGTCATCAGTGTTTCTGATCTTGGCCATTCTTACAGGTGTAAGATGGAATCTCAGAGTTGTTTTGATTTGCATTTCTCTGATGACTAAGGATGTTGAGAATTTCCTTAAGTGTCTTTCAGCCATTTTAGATTCCTCTGTTGAGAGTTCTCTGTTTAGGTCTGTACTTCATTTTTTTTATTGAATTTTTTTATTGAATCTTTTGGTGTCTAATTTCTTGAGTTTTTTGTATATTTTGGAGATCAGATCTCTGTCTGATGTGGGGTTAGTGAAGATCTTTTCCCATTCTGTAGGCTGTCGTTTTGTCTTGTTTACCGTGTCCTTTGCTTTACAGAAGCTTTTCATTTTCAGGAGGTCCCATTTATTAATTGTTTGTCTCTGTATCTGTGCTGCTGGGGTTCTATTTAGGAAGTGGTTCCCTGTGCCAATGCGTTCAAGTGTACTTCCCACTTTCTCTTCTTTTTTTTTAAATATTTATTTATTATGTATACAATATTCTGTCTGCGTGTGTCTGCAGACCAGAAGAGGGCAGCAGACCTCGTTACAGATGGTTGTGAGCCACCATATGGTTGCTGGGAATTGAACTCATGACCTTTGGAAGAGCAGGCAATGCTCTTAACCACTGAGCCATTTCTCCAGCCCCCCACTTTCTCTTCTATAAGGTTCAGTGTGGCTGGCTTTATGTTGAGGTCTTTGATCCATTTGGACTTGATGTCATTCTATCTTGGCCATGCTCTGTAGCTATGTGGCTTATGCTTCCTCTCTTTTCCCCTCAAAGGAAACAGAACTTGTTTCAGATGGGCAATATGTGAAGAAAACTAACAGAGACCCCAGATAGTGACATTTTCTTTCTCAAAAAAGTTTGGATTTTGGAAGTTGCCAGAACTGTCTTGGAACCCATTCTCTGCTACAGATCCAGCTTCTTTACTTCTTGTACAGATAGATAAATAATCAGCAACTTCCTTGAGGAGTTGTGATTAGTTCATGTACTGCGTGCCATCCAGAAAACTGTAATAGAAAAGCTTCTCTGGGCCAGCCACCTGGAAAACTCCTCTTGCCAGGCTTTGTGATCCAGAAAAAAACCAGAAGTACATGCATTTTGGGTTTCAAAGAACTTTGGTAAATTTTTACTCTTGCACCAAAATCTTGAAAAACAATGCCCCCTGATGCTTGAATTCTGTCAGGGCTCTCTTGTTAATCCAGAGTTAAGGATGAAAAGGATTATTGGCTGGTTTTTGTTTTTGTTTTTTTCAATAAAATTTTACTTTTTTTTTTTTTACTGGGTACTGTGATGTATCATTTCAGATGATATAAGGTGGTAAGCAAGAAAAACCTCCCTCCCTAGCTAACTTCTTGCCTCTCAAAAGGTGCCATCTCTCTTCCTCTCTTTCTCCCTTCCTCCCCTCTCAATCTTTCCCTCCCTTCCCCAGTTCCCCCTTTCTGAGACAGGGTCTTGCTATGTAATCCCCACTGGCCTTGAATTTACCATGTAGCGAAGCGAGCCTCAGACTTTTAACTCAGCCCCCAGAATACCAAGATTACAGGAGTGTGCTGCCATGACTAAGTTTTCATTCCTCTTCATCTCTTCTTCCCTCTATTCCTCCCTTATTCACCCATCCCATCCCCCCTCTTGCTTTCAAGAGGCAGCAGGCTGGGGGAATAACAAGAAAATCACCTGAAAAATCTTGTTTGAGTGTCTTAAATTTCTTCCCACAAGTTTGGTGTGGAGTTTTCTCTCTTGAACATTTAAGTGTAACATCACTTTAAAATAAAACACACAAGGGGTCTGGCAAGATGGCTCATCAGATAAAGCTACTGATTGACAGGCCCAAAAAACCTGAATTCTATTCCTGGTATCCACATCCTCAGTTCTACCCAAAACTGTCTTTGTTGGGGTTACTATTGCTGTGACCAACACCATGACCAAAAGCAAGTTGGGGAGAAAAGGATTTATTTGGCTTACATTTCCACACCATAATCCATCACTTAAAAAAATCAGGACAGGAAATAAAAGAAGGCAGGAACCCTGGAGTCAGGAGCTGATGCAGTGACTATGGAGGAGTTCTGCTTACTGGTGAACTCAGCCTGCTTTCTTATAGAACTCAGGGCCACAAGCCCAGGAATGGCACCTCCCACAATGGGCTGGGCCCTCCCCCATCAATCTCTAATTAAGAAAATGCTCAACAGGCTTTCCAATAGCCAGATCTTTTTCGTTTTGTTTTTTGTTTCTTTGGGGTTTCTCCAAATAACAGCTCTGGCTGTACTGGAACTCACTCTGTAGACGACGCAGGCGATCCACCTACCTCTGCCTCCCAAGTGCTGGGAATAAAGGCATGTGCCACCACTGCCCAGCTCACAGCCCGATCTTATGGAGGCATTTTCTCAATCGAGGTTTCCTCCTCTTCCTGTGATCAAAGCTTGTGTCAAGCTGACATAAATCTAGTCAGCACAGTGTTCTGATTGTCGGCATCCTGACGTTGTTCTAGTGGAATTGTTTTAAACGTGCATTGGTGTTTTACCTGCATGTATATCTGTGAAAAAAATGCCAGATCCCCTGCAATTGGAGTTACAGATAGTTATGAGCTGCCATATGGGTGCTGGGAATTGAACCCAGGTCCTCTTTAAAAGCAGTCAGTTCTCTTAACTACTGAGCCATCTCTCCAGCCCCCTAGTGGAACATTTTGAGCACTGTAGACATTAATGCACTGTTTTCTTGTTTCCCAATGGACTAATGTAGCGGAGACCAAGAATTCAGTTCACACTTCATTTCTCTGCTCTCCCTTCCCTGCCTTGCTAATCGGTACCAACTAGATTTTCTACAGTACCCAAGGGGAGATCTATGCCACAATTGTCCATCCACGCAATGGGAATCATGACCTGTGTCAGCAGATTCTTTGAAGATAGGACAAAGGTCAAAACGATCAGAAGCTAAAAGCTTTTAACTGCAGCCATTATTTCCATTTCATTTTAAGGAGATCCACCAAGTTGCCAGAGAGCTGGCTCACAGTATGCCATCTGTATCGTCCGGTGACACTGAAATGCCACCGGCGGCATTGCCATTGTCACAGTGAAGAAGACGCAGCAGAAGGTGCCAGCTGGATTTTATCCCTTCCACAAGGAGCCGCTCCTTCAAGGACACCCTGGGGGACCATCTCCAATCAAGAACTGAAAACCCCGCAGGGATCGGCAGGCAGAAAGTAAGGAGGTGAGTTCAGCTAAAGTCGGCCTGCAGCTGTACCACATAGGGAGCTCTGGAGTATTAAGGACTTGCAATCTTTAAGGCAATCGCAAAGGAAGACTGAGCCTTCCTTCTCCTTGGCCACTGGCTTCCATCTGCAGCAAATGAAAATAAGGCATCACCATATGGTGGTACATGCCTAAGAGCTGAGCACTCATACGGCTGAGCCGGGAGCACGGAGACTTTGAGGCCAGCCTGGGCTACATGGCTCACCCTGTCTCACCTCCCTATCCCAAACTAAAAACCAAAGCCAACCAACAAAAAAAGAATTTGTGGGTTGGGTAGTGGTGGCGCACACCTTTAATCTCAGCAGTCGGGAGGTAGAGGCAGAGGCAGAGGCAGAGGCAGAGGCAGAGGCAGAGGCAGAGGCAGAGGCAGAGGCAGAGGCAGAGGCAGAGGCAGAGGCAGGTGGATCTCTGTGAGTTTGAGGCCAGCCTGGTCTACAGAGTGAGATCCAGGACAGCCAGGGCTACACAGAGAAATTGTGTCTTGACGAATCTGTGAAGTTTAGTCAGAGATAGTTCAGTGGGAGACAATCTGAGTTCCGATCCGCTCAGGTAAAAGCCAGGGCTGTTCACAGTTCACCTGGGGGATCCCCCTCCTCTCTTCCAGAGCCTCACAGGACTGGCCTTCTGCCATCCAGCCCCATCCTTGGCTCTTCTTAACTCTGTTCTGGGATGGGATTTCCTAAGTTGTCGAGGCTGGCCTCCAACTTGCCATCCTCTGAAATAGCTGAAATCATGGGCTTTTGCTGCTGGGCTTAGCTAGACCATTTCTTAAAATTTCAAAAATACTTTCTCAAGGGTACTTGGGCATTCTACACTTTTTTCAGGAGAACTCTGCATTCTCCTTACAGAATCCTGGAACTCTATGGGTTGATCTAGAAGAGTCCCGAGGATAGCGGTAAGAGAGGCAGGTGGGTAGGGGGAACAATAATTCCCAGCATAACTCCATTTATATTTTTTTTTAAAAAAAATTCACCAAACCACCTGCAGGCCCTTTCTGATTATAGGTATGTGTATGTAGTATATGCAAGTACACAGACGTCCCTCCCAAAAAATGGTGGGGAAGGGTGGGGCCATGCAGGAGGCATAGGTATCTTTCTTAGCATTGGGAAAATAAAAGTGACAGATATCATTAATATCAATAATTAAAATAATAGGACGGGGCTGGAGAGATGGCTCAGTGGTTAAGAGCACTGGCTACGTATCCAGAGGACCTGGATTCAATTCCCAGCAACCACATGACAGCTAACAGTTGTTTGTAACCCCAAGCTCTGACACCCTCACACACACAAGCAGGCATAACACCAATGCACATAAAATAAATATTCCTTTAAAAATATTAGACAGACTACTGATGTTCAGGAAGCGGCTTCTGTGGCACACACCCATGTGCAGGCTGTTTCTTTCCCATGCTGGAAAATTCTCTTCCTCAGTGTACCACTTAACACCCAACAGAAGAGGGAACCTGGAGAGCAGACTCCCATTCTTTATCTGCGACTCTGAAATTAAGAAACAAACAAGCAAGCGAGCAAAACAGAAGCACAGTCTTCTCGCCCAGTCCCACTGCGAAGGGAAGGTTTGTTCAGATCTCATCCGATTTACACTGGTAGCAGAAACATGGATGCATCGATTGAGTCATGCATGGAGCGGGGATATTATATGAGATGTGGTGCACGGTCCTTCTACATAGGGATGGGTCTGGGCTTGAATCACATTCAGATCTGCGAGCCTTGGCGAGGAACCGTGGGAGTAGGTTCACAGTAGTCTCGGCAGTCACCTTCCAAGAGTTGTGTTGCAATCAGTGAGAGGTATACGCCCCCAGCTAGCCTTGGTCTTGGGCCACTAGGGTTGTCAGAATCCTTCATTCCCATCACCTGATGGAGCCCCATAGCCCAAGGTTCCCATTGGAGGCTTATGAACCAAAGATTCCGAAACTCAGAAAGGCATGACTCCCTCCTGGACTCAGCAAGAATGGCCCAGCTGCCTGGTGCCTCTACCTCTCTCAGGTCAGTGATGGTGACTCAAGACCCTTGTTCCCACCACATGCCGTGGAACTGCATGTTGATACCAGCCTCGAGAACATGGACGGTACTGAACCATAAAGCTCCAGGGCAGCAGGGTTCTTGAACAATAATCCAAGCACTGCGCCGCCCCACCCTGCTCCAATGTTGGCAGCTAATTCAAGGTTATCTCCATTGCCCCATCTCTGTCCATTTCTCCCCCTTCAAAATGCCTTCTACTGGGCTGGAGAGATGGCTCAGCGGTTAGGAGCACTGGCCGCTCTTCCAGAGGTCCTGAGTTCAGTTCCCAGCAACCACCTGGTGGCTCACAACCATCTGTAATGAGATCTGGTGCCTTCTTCTGGCCTGCAGGGACACATTCAAGCAAAACACTTATACATAATAAATAAATAAATCTTTAAAAAAATGCCTTCTGCTTTTGAACCCCCTGACGGCTGACCAGGAAATCTAGTCTGTGACTTTGGGGCGACACCGGAGCTGGGAGATAACTGCCTGTTCCTGCGCATGGGTCATACTGGGAGAAAGAAGAGATAGAAAAAGGGATTGGATAAACACAGTGGCCTTAGTTCTACAGCCCTACCTGGCAGGTATTCCAACACTCTCCCCCCACCCACCCAGCAGTGTCTTCTGGGAACTTCCCCTGGGCAGAGCAGCAGGTAGGACTCCCTGGGATACAGGGACCTCACAGGAGCTCAAGTGCAAGACACAGATTTGAACAGGCAGCACCACCGACCTGGCATGTGTCACCTGGTACCAATGTCGTTCCTGCTGCCATGCCCATCCCGGAGAAGCCCAGACTGACGGCAGAGCATTCTGACCAATGCTTGTCCCTCGATGTCTCCAGTAGTTGTCCAGGAAGCGCAATCTGCCACAACTCTGATGGTTCCCAACTCTGAGCAGAAGGAATGAGTTGACTGGGGTTTTCCATTTTAGTCCAGCAGTTTCTAGCAGCCTTTCAGGAAGGGCCGTGATGAATGATTCCTTTCTTCTTTCCAAGGTTTGGCAAAGGCACAGAGCCCAGCGGGATCTGGTGTGGAGGCAGCTAGCTCTGGCAGTGACTAGCAGGCTTCTTAAAATTATTGGAGCAAGATACAGGGTACAAGGGACTTCGCAGCATGGCTGGGCCATCAGAAAACCTACTTGATGTGTTTATCAAAAACAACTCTCTTATTCTTGGTCCATGACTTCTCTCAAGGTTTTCTGTTGACAGTGGAAAAAGTGGGGGCCGTGTTCTACTGCAGAACCTGCCTCCTGTTCTTCCAGGCTGAGGTGGACTGCACATACCCTGCCTGAATGACAATGCAGATGCCTCCCCCGGTGACACTGTGCTTTGAGACACTCTTACTGTGGCCTCGCGATCTTTCTGCCGCCTCTCTCCAAGTTGTAGGATTCTGAGTATACACCAGAACACCTAGCTTACAGACCTAGCTTCCAATTCTCACCAGTAAGAACTCCTGTGTCCAGAGGCTACTGTTCTGAAACTGACCCTCAGATCCAGAGCCTCTCTAGAGAATCATGGGAAACCATCTCTCATCACCCAGGTGCAGAGACGCCCTCCTCACGGGAAGCTCAGAACTCATGGGAATAAGAAAAATCATCAACTATCTACTTTCTCTGGGAAACAGAATAGATTCTGTTGACTTTTATTTTCAATTGCATTACTCCCCTTGGTCCACCGGTTGATTCACTATTTTTTTTTCCAAGTTTCTGGAGGTGGAAGCTTTATAGACCAGGCTGGCCTTGAACTCACAGAAGCCAACCTGGTCTACAAAGGGAGTTCCAGGACAGCCAGAACTGTTACACAGAGAAACCTTGTGTTAAAAAACAAACCAACAAAAACCAGAAAAACAAAACAAAAAGGAAAGGAAAAAAGGAACAAATTGACGACTTCTTCTGAGAGATAATTTCACTTACTTTAAAAAACACACAGGATGATGAAGGAATGGCTCAGTAGTTATCAGCACACACTATTCTTGCAGAGGACCCAAGTTCGAATCCCAGTACCCACAACAGGCAAAGCACAATTTGCCTGTAATTGCAGCTCCAAGGGGCTTGCAGCTGCCGGCCTCCACAAGCAGCTGCGCTTGCTTACATTTACGCCCACACAGACACATTCACATAGTCACAGTAAATATAAAATAACAGAAACATCTTTTTAGGGTCCAGAGATATGACTCAGTTGGTAAGGGGTTATTACCATGCAAGTCTGAGAATCCAAGTTCGGATCTCCAGCACCCATGCAAGAAACGGGACACAGCCTCATGTGCCTGCAATTCCAGTGCTGGACGGGTAATGAGAGAAAGATGCCTGGGGCTTTGCTAGCTTCAGGCTCACTGAGAGATCCTGTCTTAAAAATGAGGTGGGGACTAACTGAGGAAGATACCTGCCATCAACCGTCAATCCCTGGCCTCTTCACATGACCCCACAAATAAACACATTTTTAAATGAACAGAAAATCTATTAATATTGCACCCCATTAGGAGCTCAGAAAAGGAAAGCACATGCGTGTTACCAGCCTAGACTTATTCAATTTATTTTACATCATCGTGGTCACTTTTTACAGCTGTTTGGACTTACTTTTTTCAATCACATTATTGTTCACAGAATTCACAGAATTCATTAACAAACTAGTATTTTACATCAGAGGGGTATCAGTAGAAGAGCAGAATAGAAAAGATGCCCATGAGCTCCAGTCTGATTAGATAGAGGTCTAGAACATTATTGCTTTATTAGTCCTATTTTTAAAAATGATAAATTATTCCTAGGAAACCCACCCTGTCAGATGGTCTTCATTCTGGTCACTCATATCTGATTGGTAGGTACCCAGACCCATAAGTCTGTGCTGTGCTGCTTCGGCAGTCCTGAGGGCTGGCTGAAGCCAAACAATGCCCCTCTATGTATGTTTCTACATATAAAAAAAACCCGTAGAAGCATTTTCTTTTCATGTCTTTCTTTCTTTTTTTTAATTGTCTCAGTCAGTAGCTCAGGCTGGCCTTGAACTCACTCTGTACCTCAGGCAAACCTTGAACTTAGATCCTCCTGCCTCAGCCTCCCAAGTGGCTGAGATTCCAGGCCTGTGCATCAGGCCTTAGGGGCAGAAAGCTCTTCCACAGTTTCCTGTTTCTTCCCTGGTCTTGTGGCTAATGGGCTGCATTCACACATGGGCCTCTATGCAAAACTTGCTTAGATCTAAACAAGGGTTCAATAAATGACTAAAGCTCCTATGCAAGAAGCCACTGACCATGCAAGGGATACATCTGAAGCAACAAAAATAGCTCAAGTTTAATGTGTGAGGAATGCCTTAAAGAAAATGTCCTTAATGGTCATCATCCCGGGTGGCTGCTTAGCACTGGCTTGGCTTGTCAGTGACATACACTTGAAGACTTCTAGCAGGCTTCATGGCTGGGTTTTGTTTTTTCTTTTTTTTTAGTTCCATTTAGGTTTCTATTTTGAAAAAGGATCTTGGAGATTTCCTTGTGGCCCCTGATGCTCTGTGGAACCATACTGGGATAGGAGGTTGGCTTCCTCAGGGACACTGGTCCTCCAATGGCATTTGGGGCAGGATCCCTGAGAGTGGTGACTGTATCAAGTTTTGGGGATGGGAGCAGATGCTGTGTGAACAATGCAGGCTGTGGCAAGGGCCTCAGTTCAGCTTCTTGTTGTTGTCTGTGCTGTGCACAGAAGCTAAGAAGTCGACAATGAGCTTGGCTGTCTTCCTCGGTCTCTCCATCACCACGGAGTGGCCACAATTTTCCAGAAGCTCTACCTGGCAGTTAGCAATGGACTTGGCCAATATATCTGCCCCAGACACATCGAGCACCTGCAGAGGAAGAGAGGGAAAGAAAGAGTACACAAAGATGTCGATCCCCCACGGTGTTGCTGTGGACCGGTTCTACCTCTGACACCCGGCAGGGGGTCACGAAGAGGGGGTGAATAGAAGTCATCAGCAAGCCTCCTGTTTGACTCTGACACATGGCACTAGAAGTGGAACACTGCCAATGCTAACCAGGTGGAAAAGACTGAGTTCCTGTCTGCACAGAGGTGAAGCGGGAGGGGGTGCCAGACGTATCAAGAGATGAAGGTAGCATGATGTGAACAGGGGCTCTGCAGAGAGGAGCAGAGAAAGGGAAGACACCATTTCTGAGTTCTGATACAGCTGAGGGAGTAGAGGAATCTTTACAGAAGGGGAAAGAGCATGAGTGTGAGAGGTCACGGTAAACCGGGGTCAGGCAGGGCATGACAGAGCAGAAGGAAGGCCTTTACTCTGGCCTTTCCACCACATCCATGCTAATCCACACGGGCGATTGAATCCATGGCCTTGTGCATGCCAGGTGGAACGCATCACCCCCTGCACATCCCCAGCCCTACACCAGCCTTGGGACAGTCGGGAGACCCGAGACTTAAGGGGAATGATTTGAGTAGTTGGCTTGACGCTGGAGTAGGAAGCCAAGGGGTAGGAAAGCCCCACTAGAAAATACAAGAGGTGAAGGCTACAGGGAGAACCTCCATGGAAGACCTTTAGGGACCCCCAGAGCTTCCCCGACTGAACAACCCATTCACTTTTATTTTAATTTTAGTTATCCCCCTAGTATGCCTAGTGGGATCACTTTTCCCTCCATATTCTCCTTTGAAAGTAGTTTTGCAGTCATGCCCTAGGGCTAATCAAAGTCACCGGTAGGTCTTCCCAGCCAAGGCCCCTTTCTTTATTCTTTATGGGCAAAAGCAAAGATCTCAAATGCTCAAGCTGTTTCTGAGCTTTAGTCTCATCAGCTTGAGGTTTCCAGCACCCTCAAGTGGGGCAGGCAGAAAAGAATACGGTGGAGCATAAAAATCAAATGTCATTGTTCTCAGCTCACAGAACTGTGACACAAGAAACCCACTAGGGAGGCCCACTTCACAGATCACTGCTTGCTTTTTTCCACAGGGCCCTGTGACATACCTGGTCTTGTTTTCCCCAAATGATCTGTGTTGGGACCTTGATCTTGTCCATGTTCTGATGCAGAGAGTATCTGGATTTCTCGCTGACGATTTCCAAAAACACTTGTAAGGAAAGAAACACATAGTGAATGTATGCAGGGTCACACAGGTACCACAACAGCTAGAGCTTCATCAGGTTCAGACCACTCTACGGACAGAGGTTTACAAATTATAAGGAAGCCAGCCACTAAGCTGAAAGCTGGAGCAGGGCTACTTACACTTCCGGTAGAAGCCGTTATGAGGGATGCGAACATCAACAAGGCCTTGAAGGATCTGAGGATGAAGAATGCAAAGTTAGAAAACAAGAGAAGTCTCACTTCCTCCAGCCTCTTATGGCTCTGGGGCAGCACAGGAAAGAAAGCTCAGCACTTTCCCGCACTGCCTAGGGCTGGGCTTGTGAACCCTCAGAACGCAGAATATAATTGGGAGGCTTTAAAAAAACACAAACTGAGCTGGAGAAATAGCCCAGTCACAACACTTGCTGCTCTAAATGACCTGGTTTGACTCTCAGCACAGACAAGGCGGCTCACAACAATCTGTATCTCCAGTTCCAGGGCTCTGATGCCCTCTTCCGGCCTCTATAGGCTCTTCATCCATGTGGTGCACAAATATACAGGCAAAACACCTTTCACATTAAAAAACAGTAATAATTAAATACTAGGGAGGAACTTGGGAAATGCTGCAAAGCCAGAGGTCTGCACACTATGTTAAAGACACTAGCATGGAATCTTGAGAAACTCTTGGTTTAATTCAAGACAAAAATTTGGGTAAACAAAATATCAGATCATTAGGCAATACTATTCAAATGCAGAACAAAACTGAACGATAAGGACTGATGATCCTATAAACAATGATGGAGCTGGGGACATACATAGCTCAGTTGACAGAGCGCTAGCCTAGCATGCACAGAGCAAATATAGACAGGCCAGATCTCCAAGCCTTGGGCTACTAACCCAAATAGGTGGCTATGGCCATCTGTAAAGCAGTTCCTTGCCTCAGGACTCAAAGTCAAAGCAGAGGGCTCACAGAGGTAGCTCTGTGAGGGAACAGGTCCAGACTCCTTCACCACACCTTCTCAGGAGTCTTATGCAGACCAAAGTTGGGAAGACTAGTGTTATATTCCGCAAAAGGCCACGCACTAAAAATGCTTGGTCTTCAGCCTGTGGTGCCACTGGGAGGTGGGCTTTAGGAGGTGCAACCTACTTGGAGAGGTCATAGGTGATATGCTTTTGAATGATATATTGGAACCCCGGCTCCATCCCTGTCTGAGATGAGCAGTTCTGCTCTACTGCATGCTTCCTGCCATGACGTCCTGCCTCACCAAAGTGAAGGGGCCAAGTAACCATGGCCCGAAACCTCTGAAGCTATGATGCTCTTGGGTATTTTCCCACCATGATAGAAAGCTCACTAATATACTGAACCACGGCTGCTTTGGACTAAACCAGCTCTCTAAAGCAAGACTGGAATCACAGAGGTTCTGTGTAGAAGCACAGAGGTAAGGAAAATGAGTGTTATTTAATAACACTGCGTTCCATGACAGAAATTTCTTCCTGCTTCTCCAACTCTGCTTAATTCAGTGCTTCACAACCTTCCTAAAGCTGAGACCCTTTAACACTGTTCCTTGTATTGTAGTGACCCCCCAACCATAAAATTATTTTCACTGCTACTTCATAACTATAATTTTGCTACTGTTATGAACTCTAATGTAAATATCTCATATTTCCTACGGTCTTAGGTGACCTCTGTGAAATGGTTGTTCAACCCCCAAATGGGTTGCAACCCATAGGTTGAGGACCACTGGCTTAATTGACTGTTCAATTCATCCATTCATCTTGTTTCCCTGAATCCTGTATTCATGTCTGTATTTTCTTATCCATCCTTTCTCCACCCATACATTATCCAGCCATCATCCCATCCAACCAAACAACCAACCAATCAACAACCATCCATGCACCGTTCCATCCTGCAGCCTTAAGCCATATAAGCATACAAATGCATTAACTCACACATCTCTCTATCCGGTACCTACATATCCACCGGCTATCTCTGATACTAAGGCATCCTATAACATCCACCACCTATGCAATCTATATAAGTAGGACCTTCTTCATGGAAGTGCACTTCTAAAGGCTAGAGACAGACAGGCCTGGTCTTACAGAGGACAGAGCTCCTGTGAACAAACACAACCTCAAGATGGCCTAGTGGACTCAATGGCATGTGGCCCTGCCCTCCTGGGAAAGAGAGGCTTCTGAAGCCAACATGTATTTTCTCCCAGTGTTTTCTCATTCCTGACAGCTGAAAGCATGGAGTCTCCTCTGGAAACAATATTCTAAGGATATCACAGCTAGAGGAGGACGGTGCCACTTCAGAGCTAAAAAGATACCGAGGACAGATTACACCACAGACACAGAATTGGGATGCTTCCCCAGAAGTGTGCTGCCCTTATTAACTGAGTCATGGTCACAAAGTCTGCACAGCATCCATTCTCACCGCCTAGGAGGACCTCACCTCACCCTGCGGCAGGGTCCATTGCTTACAATACAGGGAGATAATCTGGGTTTATAAGGTCTCAGCTCTGGACTTTCCTCTCTGTTCCTTTTCCTCAAATGACCTCGTTCAGACACACGGCCCTCGATAATCTTCCTCTGCCTCCAGCTTTACATTTGGGCTGGACTTCCCTCGGCACCACTTAAATATCCAACTGCCTGCTTGACACATCCCTTGGGGGCCTCAAAAGCAATCTGAACTTGATATAGCCAAAATGGAACTCAGCATATGTCCCAAACCTGAACTTCCTCTTCTCCTTTCCTTGCTCAGAAAATGCTACTTTACCCATTCAGTCTGGGTAAAACCGGAAGGCACTGCTCACTTTTCTTTCTCACCACTACTTCCGACCCACCCTAAGTCCTGTCCATTCTTTCTCACCACCACTTCCGACCCGTCCTAAGTCCTGTCCATTTTTTCTCACAACCCATCTCAGCCAGTGCTGCTATCCCAGTCCGTACAATCATCTCTAAGCAACAGCATACTCTAAGTAGCCTCTGTTCTTATTTGTGTCCCCTACAGTCCTACTACGCTTAGAAAAAAGAGACTCATTCCCACAAACTACAAGATTTTCTCAGAGCAGTTCTTAGGAGACCACGAGGTCACACTGTGCTCATACTCAATGTCACTCGGCGTCATTGCCTTTCACCGCATTCTCTTAAAAGCACACTATTGTTTGGTGCCTATGTAACAAGCTATCATCTCTTATGGCAAATGTCTTTGTGTTTTAAAATTTTTTGAGTTTCAGCACCAACAAATATAACCCTCATAGACAAAAAGCCCTTTGGATTCATTCAAAATATTCTTTTTAAATGTACAAGTCTAAGAGTCTTCTAATTTTTTAAAATGGAGAATGTGGATTTAGCCCCTGACTCTCTTTCCATCTCCTTTCTCCTTCACTCTCTAGGCTTCAGCCACTTGCTTTCTTCCATGGCCATGAATCCACTCCTCACATGGC